TTGGAACAACCCAACTGCCTGAGAATTCCAGGAGTGTCTCATCCATGGGTTCTTCTCTCCACGCTGCCTTTCCAGCAATGACATMTTTTCAAAATAACAGGAATTCCATCTCCCTGAATGTTTGATTCTGTAGTTCCCATAATTTGTATGTGGAGAATTGCTGAGCTGCTGCTGGGCTTTGGGGAATCCATTTCCTCAGCTCTGCAAACGTCTTGGTTGCTTTTATTTCTTGCATTGCTTTTATTTCATCCTGCTTTTCTCTGGCACTGTGGATGATATTTTTTTAAATCTTAAATATTCCTTTATTCTGAAATACATTTTGTCACTTACCAACTGTCCAAACTGCTGGTTTGAAACAACTTTTTCCTCTTAGCACCAGTCTCATTTCAGGTTTAAACTCTGACTCTGCTGCTGCCTACTTTTGTCATCACTCACCTTATATTTAACAGTAAATTAAAAAAAATTGTTATCCTATATATTATCTATATTTAACTTCCTCAAATACATGCATTTTAAAATTACAAACTAATAATGACCTGAAATGTTTCACAGAGCCAGCCAAATTTGCATTAAATACATATATATACATTTAATAACTTCTGCAGCCTGAATGACTGCAATTGATACCCAAAATTATTTTACCTTTCCAATAACTCGTACAGTGATTTTTTTTTTTTTCCTGGTGGTGAAGTTGAGTTAAACAAGGAACTTTCCCTTAATGTGCTTTGAAGGAGAACATGGCATTTTGCTGCAATTACTYGTGTGTTTGCACTCTGGCTTTATTGCCAATCTGAGCACCCAGCCTTGATGCAGTGCAGTTGTGTTTCATTGTTCTGGCCCAGCCCTTGGATTTATGGCTGAGGTATTAAAAAGCCCTGAATTTGTTGGCTTTTGTTTGTGGCTGTTGAGCTAAAAATAATCTAATAAGGCTTGTGTCAGGTGAGAGATGCTGAGAAGAATTCCAGGGGAGGCCTTGACATCTCAGTGGCGTTCTTCAGAGTGGGGGTTGTGTTTGCCCAAAAAACAGATTATTTTTGCCAAACTTAACCTGCACTGGAAGAGCTCAAAGAGAAGAAAACAAGCCCYGTCTTGGTTTTGGGCTTTAATTCCTCTTCCCGTTTAAAAAAAGTCTCTCTTTTGCAATTGCAGCCTTTTGAAAAGATTAGATGGGACCTCTAAGATAGAGTTCAGTGCTTTAGTGCAATATAATTGGGGAAATACTAAACGCCACTGACCTCATTTCCTTCAGAACAATGAAAATTAATAGTTGCACGTTTTATTAGGCTGATATTCCAGATGTAGTGTACATTTAATTAAGTGTAGTTTCCTTTTGGTTATGGTATGTGGCTCTGCTTTTTGTCGCAAATTCTTTCTAGTTTTACAGTTTTCCACATGTTTTCTTTCACCATTTATGATTTTTTCAAAGCGGGGCTATAAGGATTTAAATCACTTTAGCATGCAGCAAAACAGTTCCCATTCAAACAATAAACGCCATTTTAAAAAGCCTTCAGATCTTCTGTCACTTCATAAATATAAATGTATAAAAACATTATGCAGTTGTAGTGCCCACCTGCTAATTAAATGCAGATTTCCTCAAACTTGTTTTAAAATCCGCTTATTTGTTTCAACTCGGGCTCTGCTCGGAATACATATGGCCCTTGTGAAACTAATTATGCTTATGGAGCAGCTGTTAAATTTAGTGCAACTAATTTTATCCAATATTTTACATTTTAATTGATTACCTGTGAAGAAATTAGCAAATTAACACTTATTGTGCAGTAACTGAATGGGCTTTTATGGAGACTTTCAATGTTTACAAGCGGCCTGAACGCTGATGGAATAAAGGCATTTATTTCTTGGGGCTGGAGATGGGGAAGTTATTGGTGAGCCTTGATTATCTGGTGTGAGAATTTYGGGATCCTGAGCGATGCCAAGCATCTGTGTGTTCTGTGACTTGGACATGAAAAGCAGATTGGAAAGTAATGGCTTTTCACAGAATTTTGGGAACATATGGGCTTATCTGGATCTAAGGACTCTTTGAAGATCTTTGAACTTGACTAAATGACTTAACCTTTGGCATGGTGGGTGGGTGTTTTGGGTGGCGTTTGGGGGAAGGGGATCCGTGCTGGAAATCTCCTCTCCAGCTTCCCTTTTTTTTTTTCCTCCAGTAGTTCCATAATTTGAACATTTTGGGTCTTTCTTTAATAAGACTAATTGTGATTCTTGTTAATTTTCAACAGCAGATAAAATAGGAAACTTTCTCTGTCAGATCTGTGGGGTTTTGTTCTGGTTCAGTGATGGGCTGGGGATGCAGATGCCTTTTGGGATCTCCATTTCTGGAAGTTTTTTCTTTATTTCCTGTCCTGTAGCTCTTGCAAGATACTTTAATAGGAATTAAAGGCAGCTCATGAGAAGTGATGGGACAATTGGGATTGGCCCTAAATTGAAGAATGGGAGGTTTAAGTGGGATATTGGGAAGAAATTCTTCCCTGAGAGTGGTGATGCCCAGGGAAGCTGTGCCAGGGGCAGGGACACCTTCCCCTATCCCTGTCCAGCCTTGCCCCCAGGGATGGGGCAAATTTGATGCAATAACTACTTTGAATTTTAAAAAAGTGTTCTTAAAATACTTCTAAATCTTTTTAAATACTTAAAAATTGTGTTAAGAGTATTTAAAAAGTGATTTTTAAAAGCGTTTTCCTGTATATAAATGTCACCTGCCACCAGTTGGTGAGAACATATTTGCAGTGTAAACACTGCATTTGGTACCAGCCAAATTCTCTGATTATGGTCTGAGCTGACTTGATCAGAATTCAGGAATTTAAAGTTTAATATTGAAGGAAAAAATGTCCTTCCTTTCCTTCCCCAGCAGCTCCAAGATTACTTTGTTAATAGATGAATCCAGTGAAATATGACTGAAGTTATTTTGCATTTTCCTCAGAGTAGGAGCAATGTTTCCTTTTGATAAATATCTTTTCCTTTTGATAAGTATCTTTTGATACTTAGTTTAACATTGTTAAATTGCTACATGTGTATTTATTAAATTATAATCTATTCTACTAAATAATTCCCATTTAATAATGTAATAATTAAATAATTGTGGGAATGCAGGCCTTGGAGGGTAGAGATCTGATTGCTTTGGTGAACAGAAAAACTCTGGGTGAATAGTGACAGATACAGGGAACTGAAAACCATGGGAAAAGGACAGAAATGAAAAAGGGAACAGAGGAAGAATGAGCTTTATTCACATGCAATGTATGGAATGGGTAGAGACTGATGGTTAATCGATTGAATTCTTACAAATTGATTGAATTCTTATAAATGAGGCTTCTTCACAATAAACGACTTTGCGCGCAAGAAACCTCTGAGCAGATTCCGTGTGTCAATCACTAGCAAATAATAATTAAATAATGAAATAATAAATATAAGGAATTAAATAAGAGTGAAATGATGGTTTATTCTCTGAGGATGACCCAGTGAAATGTCCCTGGTGTGTGCAGGTCCCGCTCCCGTGGGCGGCAGCGATCCTACAGCCGCAGCAGCGAGAGGAGCGGCCACAGGAGAGCGGCCAGCGGCTCCCGCGAGCGCCGCAAGGGCAAGGACAGGGACAAGGACAGGGACAAAGGCAAAGCCAAGGGCAAGGACAAGGAGCTCCACAGCACCAAGGTCGGGTAAGTGGAACACAGAACCATGGGACTGCCAAAAACCCAGCCAAAAACTCTCTTTATTTTTATAATAATTTCCCTTTACCTCCAATTATATTTTATATCAACTAAGCGTGAATTCTTCAAAAATATTAGAAAAGTGAGATTTTTAGGATTTGGCAATTCTGCAGTGTGGCAACATTTCACATTTCATTTATGACTCTTTCCCTCCTTGGTTTCGGGTGGGCTGAAGAGCAGTTTGTTAATGGAAGTGTTCTTCCTGTATATAATAGCCACAGTTTAAGGGGAAAATGGGGAATATTGGCAAGTGTGAGGACTGTTTGCTAGGAGAAGATGGATTTTGCTGTTCACACACACCTGAACTCCTCCCAGTGGCAGAAGTTCCTCCTGGGTTCAGCTGAGGCTCTAAAACACAGTTTYAGCACAAGCCTTGCCCTGGTGAGCAATGGGAACCTTTGAGAGCCTGTTGTCAGCTCAATTCCTGCTTGGGATGACTGGGATTGCTGATTACAGATTGCAGGAAAGGCAATTCCTGTAATTCCCTCTGCTTTACCCATCTCGTGCAGCTCTCACTGGGGTGTTTCTGTTTTCCCAGTTCATCTGGTCCCTTCCAAAAAGAGAAAACATTGGGTAATCACTTCATGGCCTTCCCTTGGGTGGATTCCCACTGGAAAATGCTCCTGGGGAATTCCTAGAGCAGCATTTCCCACCCACATGGGGGGCTTCTGTCAGCTTCTGGAATTTTCCCTTTGCTCCCTGCAGCAGCAGGAAAATTCCATGGTTAAATTGGATCCAGTGTGGACTCCCCAGGCAGATGAAATTCCAGATCCAGTGTCTGGATCAGCACTGGAAATGTCATTATTGTACAGAGCCCTTCCAGAACCTCTCCCATCAGGGAATCTGTGGGAGAACCAATCCTGCATTTGGAGCAGCTCCTTCCTCAAAGGCTCCTCCAGGAGCAGGCGTGGCTCTGGGGTTGGATTCATGGCATTTTGGGATGGATTTATTCAAAGTAGCTGCTTTGGAGCAGTGATGAGGCTCAGCCTGGAGCCAGACTGGGGAATCAGGGCCATAAATCCTCAGGTGCTCCTGACTTTATGGGCTGACTTTGCATAAACAGAGCAGCTCAGCAGCGCTGCAGCTTTTCTGAGAGCTGCTGTGGGTTTGGGGCTTCACTGCTGCTCTAAAGCACAGCAACAAAATGACTCTGTGGCCAAAATTCCATCTTGAATCCATCTTTGTCACTAATTAAGGGGCAGATTTGTTTGTGGGTCCTGTAAACCCTAATGGGGATTTTCTGTCCTAAGCTTGGTTTGGCTGCTTGACCTGTGCTCAGTGGTTTTTTTTGGGCAGGTTCAGGTTCTTTCAAGGGAGATCTCGTCACAGTGAGCATCTCAAGATATTTCAAAAACTGAAAATTGCTAAAATACCAGTATTCCAGGCTCTGTTCCTGGGTTTTCCCTGTTTTTGTGATCATTCTTTAACGTTCAACACTGAATTTCTTGGCTGTTGAGTTGTCAGGTGTTCATGGGGATGGGCTGTGATCCAGTTCAGCTCTTCTCCTCTTATATCCTGAAATGTTTTAAGGGATGTTCTGTTTTTCCAGCTGTTATGGAGGGAAATTATAGCAACAGCTGCTTGGGATTGGGGTTGGGAGCTCCATGGAGTTCCCTCCACTCCCAAACCCCACATTCACACCAGCCCCATCTACATGCAAGGAGTCTCCAGCTGGCCAAAGCTGCACAAGTGAGGGGTTTATAGTACTACAATGTTTTGCCACATTTTTTTTTCTTTGCTAATCAAAGCATTGCATTCATCTTTTATTTATGCTTTTTGAAATTCACTTGTTTTAAAACAACTTGCCAACATGTCTTTGTTGACCTGGTTGGGTGTGCTGTTGAATTTTGATGTTTCAAGTCTTGATCAGCTTCAAAACATGCAAATCTTGTTGTTCTCAGCCGTGTTTTTCATAAGGCTCCTTGTTCATTGTTAAACTGAGGGGGAAAAGGTACAAAAAGCTTGTTAGTTTTAAATAACTTTTCCTGGATTTATGGGTCTCATCATTGCTGGTRTAGTGGAGGAATTCTGGATTACTTTTCCAAGTGGTTTTGACAATTTTTAATGGAATAAATTAAGAGCAGCTTCTCAGTTGTTATGAGAAAAGAAGTGGTGAGCCATTAATCAAACCTGACCACTGGTTTAATTGCTGACACTTAATCAGGTTATTGATACATTTGGGCTTTAATTGTTTCCCAGCTCCTGAAATGCTTTGACAGATCCCAAAATCCTGGAATGGTTTGGGTTGGGAGGGACCTTAAAGCCCAGTTCATTCCATGGGTAGGGACACCTTCCCCTGTCCCAGGCTGCTCCAGGTGGCCTTGGGCACTCAAAGGGATCCAGGGGCAGCCACAGCAGCTCTGGGCACCCTGTGCCAGGGCCTGCCCACCCTACAGGGAACAATTCCTGCCCAAAATCCCACTGGGAGCCATTCCCTGTGTCCTGTCATTGGCAGGGAGCTGAAGAGTTCCTTGTCCAAGCACAGCTTCCATTTTTCCTTCAGATTCCACACTTTTGGGTCTCTCACCTTCACCGAGGTCTCTCTGACTTGGGGTCATTTTCCAGTGGTGTTTCCTGAATCCCTGGAGTGGGATTTCCCTGTTCAAATCCCCGTGGATGGCACATGGGGAATCAGTTCCTCCTGAGGAGTTTTTCACTCTTTGCAGCAAACATCAGGAGTGAAGTGGGAATATTGAACTCCTCAAGCTGGGCAGCCATCAGCCACTCCTGGAGCTCAGCACACCGTTCATCTCCCCTTCCTCCTTCCCCCACAGGCACAGGAGGTCCCTGCTGCAATCCCTGCTCTGCTCACAGGGGATGGAGCTCCGTGGGAGCACCCGTGGAGCTCCGTGGCAGCACCCGCGGAGCTCCGTGGCAGCACCCGCGGAGCTCCGTGAGAGCACCCGTGGAGCTCCGTGGCACCCGCAGAGCTCCGTGGGAGCACAAGCTGAGATCACAGGGGCTGTGCTGACACCGATCTGGGTGGTGTTGTGTGCATTAAACATTCATCACCTCCAGCCTGGCAGCAGCAAGCCCTGCCTTGGAGAACATGTTTCCATGCAAAATTGATGGGGAAGACACGGCGTGGCAAACAGAGATCCTTGTTGCCTTTCAGCAGCGGTGTTTGATKGGGGGGAGATCCTTTGGCACGTGTGGGGAGTGTGTGGAGCTCAGCCCTTCGGTTCTGGGTGTAAAGGAGCAGTAAAACCAACTTAGAATGGTTCATCCTGAGCAGCTGCATGGACAGGTCATGTGAATGCTCTGTTGGTTTGGATTCTGCTTGGGTTTAACAGCATTTGGGAGCTGCTAACACTCCCATCACTCAGAAATAAGTTGATATTTATAAACTTGTAAAGTTTCCTGAATCTGAGAGTCTGCAGCCAAAAATCCATCTTCAGCATGGTAATTCATAGAAAAACTTATAGAAGAGCTTTTAAAAATCTGTTTGAAATTAGCAACTGCTTTTTGAATGCTGAAACCAAACTACTCCATCCTGTGGTGGAAAATAGTTTGGATGCTTACAGGAGAAATTTCTTYCTTCTTTTGTCAGAGGGGAAAAGAATTTGCTGGGGTTCCTTAATCCAAGTGGGTTCATTTCCAGTGTCTGGGCTAAATTAGGAGGAGTTTGCAGGAGCTCCAGTCACGCTGCTGAGAGGTGTTTGTGCTGAAGTTTGAAGGTGCTTGGTGGGAGTGCTGAGTTCTGTGGTGTCTKTGGTAGGTTCTGGAAGAACAGGAGATATTGAGCTGCTAAAAATGTCTCTGGAAAGGCCGGAGCCCTCCGTGTGCCAGAGCAGCTCCAGGGTCGCCTGCTTTTGACTGAGATTTGTTGCCTTTGTTGTCRGAGCTGTGTTGGCCTTGTTTTTCTTTTTGTTTGCTAAAAAGCCCCTTTTAGGATGAAAAGCCTGGCCATGTATTGGGTAGGCAGCAGCATATGGGATGGTGCCTTTGCCTTTCACCCCCAGACAGCTGGGAAAGGCAGTGGATGGGACACGTGTGTGACCTGTGGAGCTGTGCTGGGGAACCACTGCTTCTGGAAAAGAAATAGATTCGAGCTCACAGTAACCATTTCATTTTCATTCATTAAGTACTTTTAGTGCTAAGTACAGAAATGGAAGTTTTGTGTTGGCATTCTGTAGTTCAGACTGTCAGTCAGTGATGGCTGTTAAATGAGCTTCCCTGCTAAATTCGTGGGAGATGCTGAGGGAATTATATTTCTCCCCATTTCCAGAAATAGGTTTTGGAATGCATTTGCAGGCAGTATCTTCAAAGACACACATTCTTTTAAGCTGTTTAAAATTTTCCAAACTCTCCGCTCCTTTAAAACTGCCAGCCACCGTGATTGTCCTTTTATAACGATATAATTTGCATTATCCTGGCTTTTTAACGGGATCATTCCTCCAACACCGAGTTTTTCCGCTGAAAGAAGGTTTTGTCTGCCCACATGTCCAAACACACACACGCTCTGAATGTAAACATGGACTTTTGGGGTTGATTTTTTTTTTTTTTCCCTGGGACACCTTGTGCTGGGAGAGCAGCTGATGATTGTTTTAATGGGCTCCCTTAATCTGGGCAGGAGGGATCCGAAGTGCCTGATCCCGAGCTGTGCAAATCCCGTTAGTGGGAGCTGTAATCTCTTTACTGGCTCTGAGGAGTGGCTGTGGCTGTGAGAAGCCCTGCAGACACTGAGCAGCAGAGATACAGTAATCACCTCRCCCTGCTCCTGCTTCCTGCCCCCAAACCACCGGGCCAGCCAGGATTTAGGGAAAAACCAACCCCAAACTGCACCTCAGAGCGGGTATGGGAGGGGCAGGACACAACCAGCCCATCACAAAGACAATCTGGGGGAAAGCAAAATGTAAGTTATCACTAAAATGTTTCTAACTCTGCTGCACCTCATATTTTGGATATTTCTGGAAGAAGCTCACCTGCCATAGAGATTATTTATAAAC